TTATACAGTTTAGGGGAGCCCTCCTCTCCCAATGATCTTGACCTTGACATATATTGTCAAAGTCATCGCCCTGAGTGACCTTGAGGAATTTTTACCCATCGGACATTACTCGTTATGACGTTTCTTCGTTACGACATTTCTACTATATAAAATCAAAATTTTCTGCTTTAAAATGAATTTCCTGCTTTAAAAATATTATTTTCTTACATAATTTTTGTTCAGAAAATGTTTTTTCTGCTTTATTCTGCATACACTGTATAACATCTTCAATAAGGAAAGAAAATAAAATGTAAGTAATATTAATTTGCAAAGAAATTTAATTAGCATGAAATGAATACATGGAACTCGTAATGTCGAAAAAAGTATGAGTTCGATCATTGTAAATGACGACTTTTCACGCAATGACTTTAGTACAAGTTTCATTTTAAATGAAGAGTCGTTGTAAAATCAAATTTTCTGCTTTAGAACAAAGATTATATAAGAAAATAATGTTTTTAAAGCAGGATATTCATTTTAAAACAGAAAATTTTGATTTTATATAGCAGAAATGAGACATTATTTCTTAATAATCTAAACTTTTTTGTTTATAACTTTTTAACAAGTAACGTCCGATGGCTAAAACTTTCTCAAGGTTACTCAGGTCAGGATTATGACCTTGACAATGTATGTCAAGATCAAAGTCATTTGGGAGGGGGCTCCCCTAAACTGCATAATTACCAAAACATTTTTAAATATTTAAAAAAATATTACCAAAATAATATATATATATATTGTGGAGGAAACGGCAGGGATACAAAGCGACAGCCAGGAAACCTCGTGAAGATAATACCACTCTTAAGTTAATTCAATGCATATTTCAAAATTTAGAGTACACCTTGCTTTAACTTAAACTCGGAATTAACAAGCCAAAGTTAAGCCACGCGACAGAAAACTGAACTATTATAGCGGCGATTAAGTCTCTTTGATTTCTTCGCTGCTGGATGCAATCGAGATAATTGAGTCGTGTATTACGGAAATAAAAGCGTCAAACCGAGCGTTATAATGGAAAATCTACATACACGACTGTTACTCAAAGTACGCTTTGGAAGCAAGAAATAAAAAATTTTAATATCTTAAAATTAAATACCTTCTTTTATAAGCGTATAAAATAATACTGAAAATAATTCTGTTTGGCTATGAAGTAATTAGAGAAGAAGGTGGTATTATAATCAGTGTACATACCTATTGTGGTCTCCCTTAATATCTCCGCTATTATATAGCGAATCCTAATGATTACTTATGGAATTATTAGTTCAGTAGCTCGTCGTTACATCATGTTAATATTACCAATACTCAATAGCCAGCACTTATTATAACGCATTTTTATTTTCAAGTATTTCGAAACGTTTCTGAGGCACACTTTAGCATTTAATTACACTTAATTCCCCCCCCATTTTTCTTAAACTTAAGCATATTATCACACGAATATATGTATTTTTGAATGTGTTATTTGCTATTTAACATTTTATTTAACTGTATATATTTTTAGTTATGCAAATTTAAACATACCATGGCATTTTGCTAATGTGATCATCAATGGATATTAATTACTCACAATCTCTTTTTCGAGATTTTCATATCAAAATAATTATTTGATAATCAATTGTATAGCTCTACGGTTAATCTATAGTTTATATTACGTGTACTATTTTTAGTACTGAGCAGCTTATATGCAGAAGTTATGTGAATGTATTGGTATATTATACATTCATTTGCATACATTTTAAAATGTTTTACTTTTTTGTTAATTTTGTAACCAAATACTGTTTTCTAAACAAAATTAATATTTTAAGGCAATTTTTATAAGGCCACATTACCACCCATTTTTCTTCGAGTCATTATGCAATGTCGCCACATTTTTATTAATAGTATCCTAAGTAGTAAATATTTCGTAACTCTGAGTCCAGAATCGATTTAACAACTTTTTAACGAATGTAATTGTCAAGTTTTAAACTTAAATATTGATTAATAACAAAGTTATTGTGTAAAATGTAACTGGGGGTGTCATAATACTACCTTCTCCTCTATATATAACGTTCAAACTGATTATTATAATAGAATATCAAAACTTTTTGTAACAATGCTCATCATTCGTGAGTTCCCTACATGGTTATTTTGGTCCAAGAAAATTATTTATTCATAGATCCGTATGTATCTAAATTTGTAGATACTAACGAAGTCATTCTTTCCGTGTATACTTCCACGTGAATGAAATGAATAAAAATGAATGGACTAAGAAAATTATTTTTATTAACTATTTTATTATTTTATTTTTATTAATTAGTTATATTATAACTTTGATGTTACGTTCTATTACAATTTTTCTTTTAAAAACAATCGGCGCGAAGCTCTTATTAAATATATAGGCTTCAATTTCATTAGTGCAAATCTTAGCAAGGAAACTCATCGCGGCGACATAATCGGTTGCTTCTGCATGCAATGAGGAAAAGCCTGGACGCAATTTAATATTACTAAGAAACTGCATAAATAACGCACTTAAATACCCCTGCTACTTCGAAACGCACTCCATGATAATGAACTTTTGCAATATCCGCACAACATGCTGCATTAATAACTTCAGTATTGTACTAGAATAAGGCACTTACGTTCGTCCCCGCATAAAAAATGCGGAAAGAACTCTTGTAGTTCGACGGCAACTTCGAACCACCTCAGTAAGTGATTACCGATACAGCACCTGAGGGTTCTCGCTTAAGGTTCTCCAAGGGACCTCACAGGTATCTATACCTCTCTAGTGGAGAGATTGGAAGTTAGTTTTAACGTGTCGTATATGCGCTGCTTACGTTTATGCATTTGCGCCGTTATACTAAATGCACCAAGTCGTTTCAATGCGCTGGTTACTGCAAACTTTTGAGAAACGCTCGATGCGGAAACGCCGCCGGCGTCAACATTTGGATGGAATCTCAGTTTCTCGGGAATCTCGCCATTTGTTGCGAGCGAGATCGGGAACAAATAGCAGCGCTATTGCAATATCTAACGTAATGTGTCCGCTTAAATATTTGATTTATCTGAAATCGATACACGGCAACGATGGATTTGACTCTGTCCCCTGTGAACGAACATTTTGCGAAAGTCTTATATATATGTTAAAGCCATTCGATAAAAGTACTAGTTTTTTTCTTCTTAGTTTTATTTCATCTGTCGCGTTATTCATATTTGATTTATCTATCTATGTCTTTAGTCAAGCGGTTAAAATGTGATTATGGTTACTGAATTATTTCATGAATGATGATGAGTTTATTCTGAAGATAATATAATAAGCGATTAATATCAGTTGAAAATTTTATAAGTATTTAAAGTGATTAACGATACATTGTCATTTCAAATTTATTATGAATTATAGTACAATCTGAAAACTAGTACGTGGAATGAAATTCCATGTTTGCTTTTCATCGTGACATCCTCAAATATTTATTGCTCTCAATAATTAATGTACAATCTAATGCGAAACCTAATTTTGCACAATAATGATTAATTATTCGTGATTATTCTAATAACAGTTAGTATTGCTTTGATTATCGTATTACGTACATATATGCGGAAATTTATTCTAAATGCTTCTGGCAATAAAATAAATACATATCGCAACTATTATATGTAGATTAAATTGGCTTGTTATTAAATTAATCCATACTTTTATTCTCTAGCATTTTTTCTTATCCATCTATTAAAGTATTTACAGAGTATTACGGAAAGAACGATTTTGCTAAAGTTTTTAAAAATTTAGATAGATACAAATTTGAAAATAATTTTGTTGGACCCATCCAAATAATTATGTAAAAAATTCAAGCATGATGAGAGCAATATTACAGTGTTGACATCTAACAATTAATTTAAGCGTCTTATATAATTATTTTGATAGTTCAACAAAATTTATTTTCAAATCTATATCTAATTTTTAAATCCTATAAAAATACTTCAACAAAATCGTCCTTTCCATGTAATGTTACATCGATTCTAAATTCGTAAAAAAATCTATGATTAAAATGAAGGTACACAGTAAAAAAGTTTGTGTTAAATGTAACACATTTCACATGTCCCAAACAGTCCACCCAAATTTTTGTGTTAATTTAATATAAGACGAATATCTCAGAAAGTAACACAAATATTTCTTTTTATGTAAAAAACTAACACAAGAAGCGTAATATTTTAACACAATTTAAAAATAAATTTTATGTTAAATTTACACATTTATAATGTCAAATACTAAAATTAGATGCTGTTTTTACATTTTTTGTTTAGGCAATGCCTTTGTGATATTTAATATATGCAATATATGGATTTAACAGATATTTATTGTTACAAAGAGAAAATAACACAAAATACCATATCTGTATCTTTTTATATATATTATATAAAATATGTGACTAGTCATACAGAACATTTTTTCAGTAAAATTAACATTTATGATATATTAAACAACACACACATTTCATTCATTTGTTCTTGGAATTTATGTTTTAAAGCAACATTATTTTTATGTTATTTGTTTACTTATCTCTAAATTTTGTTATTTTAACAATGAGAAATGTTAAATTTTAATTTAACACAAAATATTCAAATAACATAATTATATTATGTTAAATTAAAACTCGGATATATTAAAAATTCAATACAAAAATTTTAGCAAGGATTTGTTTTAATATAAATGTACAAAATGTTTTTTACTGTATATGGTGCCGTTATTTTATTATAGGTTATTGTGCCGTATATTTCTCATACACATAAGTTCCTCGAGAAAACGAAAGAGGAAAGAGAAAGCCGGAAAAGGGGTAGGAGGGAGGGAGAGAGGTTGAGAGAGAGAGAGAGAGAGAGAGAGAGAGAGAGAGAGAGAGAGAGAGAGAGCGCAGACGGCGATGTAAATTTTCCAATCGCTGCATCCCTGACCACCTAGTCTCCGTCTGCAAAATAATTTATATGTATGCGGCTTTCTTGGGTTTCAGGGGAACATCCGGCGGCCATGCAGCACGGGAACTCCAGTAACAGCGGCGCAGCCACGCGGACACTCGCGTTGCTCCTGTTGCTCCTGCACGCCGGTTCCTTCGCGAGGTGACTGGTCGATCACGAGACGTTGCAGTAAGAGAGTAACGGCCGATAGTTTCACCCAAACAAGATCGGGGCGACGACGAGGGTGGTGCGGAAGAGGAG